AATTTAAGTACTTTAAGTTGGAAGTAAACTGTTATAGATACATATCAATATATTGTCTGTTTCTTATAAAGGAAAAATAAGAAAGTATAAAATTATACTCAAAATTAGCAAATGAAATTAATTACCTATTTCAATATATAAAAAAACTATGTTATTAACAACTATGAGTTTGCAGGACCCAAATTTTGCATGCTCTGAAGAACTAAATATGCTAGAAGGGCAGAGACAAACTACACTTTCTCTCTGAAGATTATTATGGGTAAAGAAACTACTGAATTGAGTGTACCATGTAACCTGAACATTTCCCTGGTTTACTCAGTTCATGTTTCACATAATAAGTTGGACCCTTCTTTGCCTCCGGTGAATAAAACTAGTTATAATTCCATAGTCTTCAGCATAAGAATAAATTAAGAATATAATAATATATTGAATTACTCACAGTGTCAAGGTATTAAATAAAAATAAATAAACAAAAGTATCTTTTGGGGAAAAAAGTAGAAACTTACATCAAGGTAACAAAAATAATTAGTTGAAAATCCCTCTCTCTATGTCTGTCTCAAAATATCAGTACACAGATGAAATGATGTTAGACTAGCACCTTTATCTTCGCTTAATAATATTCGACTAAGTACTCTCTAACTACATGATTTAACAGAATAAATTACAGAAGAATTCCTGTTAGCTGAATACCCAAGGGAATAATCAAACTAGTCAACATACAGAAGAGGTCAACATAAGGAACTAGGCCTACTGCACTTATACATATGTGTGGTACAGGTGTGGTCTATGAACACCAGGTTAAATGAGGAGATGGTCAATGTAGTCAAATATGTAGGTTTTACTGTCCTACAGTAAAACCCATTTCTGTTCTATAATGAACTTGGCTCAACACCAGAGGTACATGTACACTATTTCACTTCACTTTTAAATTTTTTTTTTTTTTTTTTTGAGACGGAGCCTCAAGCTATTCCCCTGGGTAGAGTGCCATGGCATCACAGCTCATAGCACAGCAACTCCTGGGCTCAAGCGAGTCTCCTGCCTCCGCCTCCCAAGTAGCTGGGACCACAGGCGCCCGCCACAACGCCCGGCTATTTTTTGGTTGCAGCCGTCATTGTTGTTTGGCGGGTCCGGGCTGGGGATTCGAACCCGCCACCTTAGGTGTACGTGGCTGGCGCCTTAGCCGGTTGAGCTATAGGCGCCGAGCCACTTCACTTTTAAATTAAAAGCAGAACTAGGAAGTACTCATGCCTATCCACTGTTTGAAATATCTGGGCTCAGAGTCTAGAGAAGGCATAATTATTTTTCAGGTATAGGGCACTAGAAAATATGTACTGTTCTCTGGGTTTTCTAATAAGCACTCTTAGAACTCTTTGTCCCTTGCAAAATCCCTTTGTTGTAATGCATGGGGCTACTTGAACAATGATTCTGAAAAAGGCCAGATATATTCACAACTAGGTCATGTCATAGAATCTGGAAAGGACACTTGCATGTTCATAATCTTTTTTAAAAACAATAGATTTTAAAATTTGAAATTGTTTTACATTTCATCTGTCAGAGTTGAGAATAACATGACTATTGAGTGGATAATTCTTAGTGAAGTTTATATAGGACATCATAAACAAACTTTCTAAAAAAGATACCTTAAGCTATGAGGTATAAAATATATATATATTTTTTTTTTTTAAATAGATTCATGTTATGTTGATGAAATGAAATTTGACACTGGGGATTTACTGCTCAATTTTTTAATAGGCTCTCAACACCCATTTGAGATTCTACATCGGTTCTCCTAGAGCTTCCTAAAAGTGGTAAAGAAGAGTGTGAGGGAGAAGCAGGGAGACCGAGTTAGGAATTAGCTTCTTCTGTGCAGTCATAGTCATTTTTCCTACTGGTCTTCCGTATAAGAATTGAATCAAGAATGACCTTCTGGTTAATTTAAATACTGCTGATCTCATCTTACCATGATATTTACATAGGAGGAAATTAAACATGAGTTATAGAGACACTAAGTGACTTATCCACTGTCATCTAACTAGAGAGTGGCAAATCAATCTCCTAATTTCAATGGCACCCAGTGCCATCCCTGTATTTCATTGACTTCCTTGGGTATAACTAGAAAATAAAAGGTGAGGGTGTGTGTATGAAATGGGTATTCAGTATAATGTTATGTACTTAATGAACTATCCTGAACATGATTATTGATTCACAGCATAGAGAACACCAGAACGGTATTCTGCGTTTCCTAATTACTACTTTTGCTTAAAGGATTCTGTTTCAAAAATGTTTAAAAAGCTTTATAATTATATTTTACAGAGGAAATTCACTTTGATAATATTCAGTTCTTATCATCAGCCTTAAATAAATTGTGTTATGAAAACTCTGGTCAAAGCCATAGCAGGTAGCATGATTTGAAGGGGTAAGGAAAGCTATTCTTCCCACTGCACTCCAAAAACTGGTAATGAAAAGTCAGCTTCATGCATTCAGAGAGACACACAGTTCCACAGGAAAAGTAAATCACTTGTTTAAGCTTATGTGTTTTCCTTTGACATTATAAAAAACACAACACTAATGAAACACCCATGCTTTAATATCACAACACCAGTGGTGTAAGTGGGTTTGCTGTATCCTGTGATTTACAGTAGAAGTACCCCAGGTATAAAGGAATGGGTAAAGAGAAACCTCAAAGACTAAGAAAGAGCACACAGATAACTAAAGTGCCAAGAGAAAATTTTTAACATTTTTCTTTCTTCATTCTAAGACACAATCTTATTTCCTTAGCTATGATAGTAGTATTATTGTAAAAGTAAAGTGTTCTTCAAGTGAACCGTTTAATTTTTAAGTGGAAACGAATAATAATAATGAAATCATTAGAGTGGTACTTCTATTGAAAGGAAGCTATGCAGGCGAAATCTGAAGTGATAACCAACCATAAATCTGTATTAATTGACTTATGACAGTGACAAAAATATTCTGTGTGTGTCTCTTTGTTGTCTGTACCCCCTTTCTGTTGGCAGATATGTTTTCCTTGACTGTGGGCATTTTGAAGAGAGAGTATTTGTTTGTGAGCCACAAAGCACTCTCAATGGCAGGTCAACTCCATTATTGTCAAAAATTCCATTGTAATAAAAAAGCTCAAATTGGTGTGTTTTCAAATATTAGTCATAGGTAGTCAATTCACTTTGATTTTATCACAACTGGATCCATTTATGCTATATATCACACTCTTCCAATCTTTATATAATAACCACATACTATATAAAGATATCAGAAATAAGACTGAAATATGGATTAGCACAAACTAGCAGACTTTTAACAGGATTGGCAAACAGTCAATAGCATGTAACAATAGTAGCTGAATGTGTGGAAAACACCTTTGAGATTAGTAAGAAAGCAGTGTGTATTATTAAAAAAGTCACCCTCCCCCGCCTAAGGCTGGCTGTCTATTTGCCTTGGTTGTCTCCTTAGTGGTGCAGAAGCTTTCTAGTTTAATTCAGTCACATTTGTTTATTTTTGTTGTTGCAATTGCCATGGACGTCTTCTTCATAAACTCTTTCCCCAGGCTGATATCCTCAAGTGTTTTCCCCACACTTTCTTCAAGAATTTTTATTGTTTAATGCCTTAGAATTAAATCTATTATCCATCTTGAATCAACTTTTGTAAGTGGTAAGAGGTGTAGATCCAGTTTCGGTCTTTTACGTGTGGATATCCAGTTCTCCTAACACCATTTATTGAATAGGTATTCTTTTCACCAGTGTATGTTCTTGTTTGGTTTATCAAATACCAGATGGGTGTAAGATATGGGTTCCAAATGTCAGTGTCTCTAGTTTTGTGCCAGTACCATGCTATTTTGATCACTATGACTTTGTAGTATAGCCTAAAGTCTGGTGGCATCTACCCAGAAGAAACAAAAAATCCTTTTATGATGAAGACATTTATACTAGACTGTTTATAGCTCAATTTACAATTTCCAAAATGTGGAAACAACCTAAATGCCCACCCACCCAGGAGAGGACTAACGAGCTGTGGTATAGGAATGCCACGGAATACTATTCAACCATTAAAGAAATGGAAACTTTATATCTTTTGTATTAATGGATGGAGGTGGGACACATTCTTCTCAGTAAAGCATCACAAGAATGGAGAAGCAATGTACTCAATTCTAATATGAAGGCAGTAGATGAGCTAAGACAGGGGTGGGGGAGGAGTTTGAGGGAGCAGGGAGAGGGGAGAAAGGAGAGGGATGGGAGTCACAGATTATTGCACACCTCTTAGGGGACGGACACAATTATAAGAGGGATTTTATCTAACAAATTCAATCAATATAACCTAATTGTTTGTACCCTCAATGAATCCCAAACAAAACAAATTTTTTAAAAGTTCTTTATATATTCTAGATATAAAAATAAATAAAACCCTCTATGTTACATATTTTCTTCAATTTCTTTACATCTATGTTCTACCCAAAATTATTAACAATAAAATTGAAAATAAAATGTACATCTTTAATGTATTTTTTTCACACTTTTAGGACAAATAATTCTGATACCCACTCAGTATTCAGTGATTATAATTCTGGTGATATTAGAGAATATTCTAAGATTAATTTTCTAATATTGTGGTTTTTATTTATTTTGAATAGTTTTTTAGTGATAAAAAATTAATTTTTTCTGAGACTCATCAGTTCATTTCCCGTAAAATTCATTTTTTTCTTTGTATTTGTGAATAAGGGATAGTAAAGAAAATATCTGTGTCTTTACTTGTTTAGCACTAGGTGGAGAAGATAGGTAGTATCAGTCCACCCACATCTGTTTGTAGAACTCTAGAAAGGGTGTGGATGGTTGTGTTTGGGTGGAGAAGCCAGATAGAATGTGAGGATTGCAGTCAAGTGCCTGAGCATCCCAGTTGGAGGGAAGAGAGATGAGGGTGAGAACTCTCCTTGGATAAGGTTTCAATACATTAATTGGCTCTAAAAAAGATTTAAATAGAATTTTGAAGAAATTCAAATATAACACTTCTGCCACTGGTAAGTAATTAGAAGCAAAAATGGGGGCAAGATGTAGGAAGTCAGTTTGGTAATACAAAAAGAAAAGCATTTGTTTATTTAATACTGGCAAGACTATCTTTTCCAGTTGTATGTTTTCTTTGTACTTTGATCTTTTTGTAGTATCTTAGAGTGTGAAAGAAGACGTGCTTAACTCTAATTTGTCTCCTGAACAAGAAAAATGGGCTGTGATCTGAAGTATGGGCTCATCGCTGGGGTAGTCCTTGGTGCATTTCTGGCTGTTGTTGGAGTTATCATAATCCCAGTTGGAAACATGTTTATGGACGATACAATTAAAAAGGTACAACTAGTCTACAGCATGGATTTAGTTATTTCTTATATGTTCTTTATTTTGCCTCTTTTTTGATTTGGTACCTGCTTTACATGTTAGGATTACTAGTAAACTTATGTCTTTGACACTAAGATAATTATGAACTGCTGTAACTCTATATAGTAGAGAAGTGACTAGGTGTGAGAAATTATAAGTATAATGTATTTTTAACATGAGTACATTGCTATAATGTATAAACCCATATTGTGATAAAAGGTCTCTATAATTACACAAGGGAGTAGAAAGAGATGTTTTTAATTATCTCCAACGATTATGGTGACCTGCTTTTTAGAAAGAAATAAGTGAATGCATTTTATAAGGGGATATTTATGAAGTTGTTTTTCAGCTAATATTGAGAAAAATAAAGCCACATACATAGGAATATGTGTATTAAATATTATGTTTGTATGGGAACAGAAATCTTTGGTAAGCTGATAAACTTTGGTTTTTGGCTTTATGTAAGTGTACAATGACTTGATCATCTCATGATTATTATCTATTTATGAAGCTTTATATTTGAAACTTAGAAAATACTTTCAAAAATATATAAGAAACATCTCAATATAGTATGTATAAGAAATTGACTATAGTTCAATAGACATTCCTTGCATGGGCATCTAGAATTCCTGTCTCACCCTAATTCATTCTAATTAGCTACACATTCACTTATCAGAAACTTTAATTGATAGAAGGAGGAATAGAATAGGGTGACACATCTGCTGAAGTCTTAAACCAGGAATGGCAAATTTATATTGTTTCAGGATTTAGAGACAAGGGTTAAAAAAATTTAAGGTGTCGAGTACAAGATAAAATGAAAACTGGTTACTAACTGTGAACTTGAAAGTGTGTGTCCTGCCCAAGGCATGCATAACCATTTTTTGAAACATAATGCTGGCCAAATAAAACATAACTGACTGTTGCATTCATTTCTCTACCTAGTTAAGATGGCAATGACTGACGAAGCATAGTGCATGATGGAGAACAATAAGAATGGACTTTTATTAAATTCTTCATTACTGTATTCTCTTTAATATATTTGTCCATGGTTGGTTGAATTTCTGGATGTGTCCTCTGAGAATATAGAGGGCTGACTCTATAGTGATTTCTATCGCTTTTATGCTATTTCTATCTCTTTAACATATCATAGATCTTTAGCCTAGTGTATTTAACTGAAAAAAATATTAATTCTATGGTATCCCTGCTTCGAAATATCAAGTTTTATTGATAGTATTTTTAATAAAGGCAAATAAATGGTGAGAGATTGTGATGATGAATTGGGGCTTGTATATAAGAGGGATGGAATTGTCATTGTTCCAGCATCATTTCTGCTCTGTAAACTGTGCTTTGCAAAAGGATCTGCTACAGAAATGGACAGAATTGGTGTCTGGACTGATAAATAGATGATAACTTATCTTATTGTTTCCAAAAAAAAAGTCTCAGAGTATAATATCACAGTGTATAGCAATTTAAAATTGGACTACTTATTCTTGATACATAATTAAAAGATCAATAGCTGAATATTGATCATTTTTTTGTTCATCATGGAACTAAATTAGTAATATTGACACACTTGGATGCCATATGAAGTGCTAGGAACTATTTTCATTTAATTAATATTTATCTCTATGCTCATGATAGTTAATAATGAGAGAGTTTATTTATTTATTTTTTTGACTTTGTCACCCTTGGTAGAGTGCTGTGGCATCACAACTCACAGCAACCTCCAGTTACCTGCCTCAGTACCCAGCTATTGTCTTTGTTGTTGAAGTTTGGCTGGTGCCAGTTTTGAAACTGTTACCCTCAGTATATGGGGCCAGCATGCTACTCACTGAGCCACAGGCGCCACCATGAGAGAGTTTTTTGAAACAACAAAATGTCCTTCTATATTGTGATTAAGAGAATAAAATAAATTGTCTAAACAAGTACAAGGTATGACCAAGAAAATACATATTAATTTAAAAAATAGAACCCAGGAGACTGTAGAACTTAATTTGAAAAATAAATGCTATTTAGAAAGATAAATCTGGGTATTCAAGAAACTTTAAAAAAAGACATGGGAACTTGAGCTGGATTTTGAAGAAGTATAAAATTTTTAAAGTCCAAGAACTGCAGAAAAGGTGTCAATGTTCTGATTAATAACCTGGAAAAAGCTCTCAAAATGCAATTAAATGCAATGAAGAGAGAAAGATTACAGAAAATAGGGAATGTGCCAAGAATACTGGATTAATAAGAAGAATGCTTAGAAGGCAATATTAAGAAACGTTGAACAGCAAATACAAGAATATGCCATTATTATGATACAAAGTAGTAGTTGGTATATGTTTTTGAGTAAGTTTCAAGACATAATAAAACCTGTGCTTAGAAATTGCTACCATCAAATGGCTATCAATATTTAGAATAGAGATTCGTATATTCTTTTTTAATTCATTTAATCTTCAGATATAATCTATGAGACATATAAGTGCAAGTAACTAAATCAACTTGCCAACTTTCGTAGCCAATAGGAAAAAGAGTTTCCAAACACCAGAAATCTGAAGGGAGAGCCTGAATGATGCACAGCCTGGGATGTGATGCTTCTGCGGTAGGAAGGGTTGGGAAGTGAGGAGAACAAAGGCAGAGAAACTACACAGGACATGACCACCTTCAAAGAAAATCTGAGATTCCCTTTTCAAAATATTTTTGTGTTGGTGTAGGTATGAAAACCTGATAGGTGATGAGATGTGATTGAAGTTTGGATAGAGGGACTAAATAAGGGCAGAAGGGGGTAAAAGTAGCAAATTCAGTTGAATCCTTGATAGAAATCTATGAGGTGGGCTAACTAAGTGTGAATTCATCCTAGGAAAAGTACTATAGACCTTAGTGCTGAATATCACTATGGTTGCCTTTGACGTACTCCCCTTAGGAAGCTATGCATGGATTCCACCCTTCAAAGTAATCTTGGCGCTCTTTTTCTGGAATAGACATAAAAGTTGTTGTCATATTACCTTGATGTTGTGAATGTCATCAAAATGTCTTCCTTTCAAAATTTCTTTTATCTTCGGGTAAAGAAAAAAGTTGGTGGGGACCAGATCAGGTGAGTAGGAAGTGTGTTCTAATACAGATATTTGTTTGCTGTCTAAGAACCCCCTCACAGACGGTGCTAGGTGAGCTCTTTGTTTTGTCCATCGGAGAGCACCTTCAGGACCATTTTTTCATACACTTCCCTCTTACCAAGATTTTCATTAAGATTTTCCTATTTCTCTATCAAGATTTACTTGGTCTGCTATGCTTCTCACAGATAGTTGATGATGATGATGTACAATTCGGTAAATTTTGCAATGTTTTCCCCAGTTCTGCTTGTTACTGGCCACCCTGACCTCTCTCTTTTTTAACATTCTATTTTATCATCATAGAATATACACAACTCTATACAGAAAATTAAAATGTATCAAAACTCATGTACACAGGCATGTGAAGACTGCGCATGACACCATTCACAATTGAGAGACATGAGAACAAATGTAAAGATGCAACATCCACCCCAACTCCCTCGTGTTATAATGAAATCGATCCTGAGGGGGTCGGTGACTTTGCACTTTGTCTCAAAGCTTTTAAAGTGAAGAATCAGATTCCTTATAAGGGGTTTTAATCCTGTCATTGGTATGGTTTCAGGACAGGGACATCAATGAATTTTACTTGATTTCATGAAGGACTAATAGGCCAGCTTTTTTCCCATCGTTTTGTTGAAAAGTAGTAGCCCAGTAATTACGAATTAGCCTGTTAAATTTCTGGAACCATGTTGGTAGTGAGTTGTTGCAAATATGTTGAGATTTATGGAAGCCATATTGAGTAGTGATTCAAAGGGAAGAATTCAAATTTGTTTTCATCATTCAGATGCTTTTATTTTCTTAATTTAATGTTATTATCCTTTGAAATGTCCAACTCTTAAAAAAAGTAGAAGCTTCCAATAGTCTAGTTTATGTCTCAGTTTTTGTGTTTTTTCCTCATTAATAAAATTCAATTAGGAGCAGAAGATAATGTAGTGTTCAACCTGATAAGAACTTCTTAGAAAAACTTTAATGAGATTTTGTTAATATATTGTGTTGTTATTACAGTATTCTCAAAGGAGTGCTCTCAAGCTTACCAAAGGTTTGTCTTAAATAGTCCTGTCTTCAGTACTACACACAAATTCTCTTTGTGAAATGTTAACCAGAAGAGGTTGTCATAAAAATCTGATAAGAACACTCGTGCTGTAAGTGTGTTGCAAAGGTTCTCTCTCATAAACCAAGTTCTTGAGCTTGTTTTCTGGGTGTAGGTTTAGAACAAATTCTAAGAAGTGCCTATATTTACTACCTCAAAATAATCTTGACGTGTTTTCTTTTTTATAGGAACTTGTCCTTGAAGAAGGTACAGCTGCTTTTCATAGCTTGTTTAGAACACACGTGAAAATACATAGACAGTTTTGGATCTTTGATGTGCAAAACCCAGAGGAAGTGACAGTGAATGGTGGCAACATTAAAGTTAAGCAAAGAGGTCCCTACACCTACAGGTGAGTCCCCACAGACAAGTGGCAGATTCAACATAAATAAATGACGTTATACATAAACTTATATATTTCTGAGGATGCTTCCACTTGGTGTCATTGTATTAAAATGTACTTGTTATTTTCCTGACAAAAATATACTTTGAAATATTTTCCTACTTGTGTAGTATCCTAATATAAGGATATATAGAAGATATTTGTTTTGAATAATTGCTCAAAAATACATTATACAGTATATAGAAAAGAAATGCAGATTTTATAATAAATTTACCATCATCAGATAACATCCCTATCCTCAAGAACTTACAAGGGCTTTGCTTTGAGATATATACTCAACTTTGAATTATGCATGTTGAACAGTGAAAAAAACTATCCATCTTTAATATCTTAAAAGTAAATATATACATTATATCGGTGGTTCATAAAGTGAGCTCTTGGTTCAGAAGCATCTACATAACCAAGAAACTTGTTAGACATAACAAAATAACTAAGAAAATGAAATAAAGGCTATGTTAACCAGTTTGATGAAAATATTTCACATTGTATATGAAAACACCACACTGTACCTCATGATTGCATTAATGTACACAGCTATCATTTAATAAAAAAAAATCCTTTCTAATTAAATGTTGCAATAAATAAACACAACATATTGCTGATAAAATTCAAGTACTGGAAAGACTCAAATAAACACTAAAATAAATAGTAAAAATAAATTAATAATAACTGAGGAATACCTTGTGTATGATAATGGTAATGGCGTAGCTCCATATGATTGTATTTTTTAAAATTTTTTCTATTAAATTATAAACAAGTAGATCATGTATACATCGTTGCATTTATTGGGTACAATGTGCTGATTTCATATAAAATTGGGAATGCTTACACTGGTTAATATATACCTCATCTCGTTTACTTGGTTGTTGTGTTAAGACATTTATACTCTATACTAATAGATCCAAGATGTAACCTTGCATTATGCACCATGGGTACGATCCCACCATTCACCCTCTGTAACATTGTATTTTCGACAAAATAAGAGAAATATTAGTGAAAGTGTTAGAATACACATAGTAAGGGCTTAATAAACAAACTCTGCAGAGTGTTCCATTTTACTAGTATTTTATTCACCAAAATAAACTATCTCTTGGTAGGCTACAGACGGCAATAGTAAAAATAAATACCAAAGTAGTATGTTAGAATTTAACTATCATGGAATAATTAATTACCGTATGGATTATTTGTAGATAATATTAACTTAATTCTAAGAGAAACATTGGAAGTTTCCACTCTGTACCAGTATAAAGGACGAATTCAAAATTTTATAAAGCCTGTTTACTGTAAGAGGGGCTTCATGTAACAAATGCAATCAGTGTAACCTCAGTCTTTGTACCCTCACTAAATCCACAACAATAAAAAATTTAAAAAAGAAAAAAAAAGTTCTCAGACTCCACCCCAGACCAACTGAACTGGAGACTCAATGCACTCAATATTGAGAACTATGCCACTGTTCTTATTTTTATTTACCTACAGTAAAGATTTATATCTAACCTTATTTCCAGGTCATATAGATGGTTACACTTATCTAGTAGTTTTATTCCTATATTTTCTCTAGTAGTGAGACTGGATATTCGATACCTTACGTCTGCATCATTTAATAGTTTAATACATGTTGGCATAGAATCTTAGACTATTAGAAGAAATAATTAGCCATAATCTTAAGTAAATAATAACTTACACTACTGGATATAAGGTGATTTCTTGATGTTCACAGAGATATAGAAACTGGTACCTCCTGGATTTTTGTAAACACTTTCTATTTGAATTATAGACTATATCTTTTCTAATTATTAAAGTAAAAGGAAGATTAGGGTACTAAAAACACTAAGTTAAGCAAGGATTGGGGATATATTTATGATCTCCATATGGGGACATACTTACTTCACATTATCTCATTTGTTCCACAAATGTATATTTTCTTTCAAGGATAATTAAAACTAATTATATACTGTGATTATTATCTTGAAAATTCATATTCATAAAGATTCTTGGGCATAGTGTTAGTATCTCATCCCTTTGGGTATTCAATGATTATATCATTTTCCTTCCTTTCCAATGCATCAATATGTTTCTAGATTGACAACTCACAGACAAAATATAATGAAGTAGCAGTAGTTATGTGAGGGTAATGCCTTTACCATAGCATATGATATATATGCTTGAGGTCTTGGTGCCTACCTTGTCCTAGCAATCTTTTTTTTTTTTTGGTTTTAGAGACAGAGTTTCACTTTATTGCCCTCAGTAGAGTGCTGTGGCATCACAGCTCACAGCAACCTCCAACTCCTGGGCTTCGGCGATTCTTCTGCCTCAGCCTCCTGAGTAACTGGGACTACAGGCGCCCCCCACAACACCCGGCTATTTTTTGGTTTCAGTTTAGCCGGGCCGGGTTTGCACCTGCCACCCTTGGTATATGGGGCTGGAGCCCTACTCACTGAGCCACAGGCGCCGCCCAGTCCTAGCAATTTTTTCCAAGTGTCTTTCTACTGTCTCTTTGCTGATGTTTGGGACTATTCACAAGTTTGTCAAAGAAGATTTGTTTTCATTGTTGCAAGAAGAATCTTACTTTGGAAAATATCTTTTTTTTTTTTTATTAAATCATAGCTGTGTACATTAATGCAATCATGGGATACAGTGTTTTCATATACTATTTGAAATACTCTCATCAAACTGGTTAACGTAGCCTTCATGTCATTTTCTTAGTTATTAAGACATTCATACTCTGCTTTTAGAAAGATTCACTTGTACCCTTGTAAGATAAACCATAGAGGTATGGGCTCATAGTTCTTACGTTCTTAGCACACCCCTATACAAATATCTTGTTTCAGGAGACTATTATAGGTATGTGAACCTATAAATATTCATAGATATACTTGTCTGTACCCACGAAAATCCAGAATTCACATCTGACATAATGAGAATTGGAGCATAATTCTTTAAAAAGTAGAACCTGAATGACCTATGTATAAGGAAGAAATAGTTTTTAGAATTTGAGAATTCATGTTTTCTGGAGATTTTTGTTTGTTTTTGTTTTGAAGAGGTTATATTTTCTACTCTTAAGGATATTATATGGGATATGAGGGAAGATCAACATAAAATTATTTAACGTAGCTTTCTTGGATAACTGACAGCTAATGTCTGTGTTTTTCTTAGAGCAGTCAACTTATCTTTGTAAGGAATAAAAAGGGGGTAAGTGGTCGGTTAGACACGGTTGATTTGCTTGGGGAGGCAATGGAGGGAGTGTGGGAGATAATGAGCCGCATACACAGCGGCATTTTATAAACAATAAACACCTCTTTATATAACTTTAAAGAGATTCCTAATCACCTAGAGACCATACTATCTCATGTTACCCAATGGAGTTTTTTTGGTTTGTTTGAATGCCTTAAATAATGTGAAAACTTGTTACATTTTAAATAAAAGTTAATACCTTTTTTTGAGACAGTGTCACCTCGGTTGAGTGCCTTGTGGCATCATAGCTCACAGCAACCTCAAACTGTTGGGCTCAAGGGAGCCTCTTTGCCTCAGCCTCCCCATTAGCTGGGACTACACTAAAACCTACAATGCTCTGCTAGTTTTTAGAGACAGGGTCTCATCCTCATTCAGGCTGGTCTGGAACTCCTGAGCTCAGGTGATCCACCTGTATCATTCTCCCAGAGTGCGAGGCTCACAGGCATGAGCGTGCCCCACCCAAAAGTTAATACTTTGACAGTTTTCTGTGTGTTGAGTTAGACTTGCTTCCCTACAGCTAGTACACCTTCAATCCAGTAAAAATTGAGTGTGTAGAAGATGTCCCTCCTCAAACAGAAGCATGGGCCTTACTTGGCTGATGTCTCCTAAAGTGAGTTTGATGAAAATTTCACAAGATATGACATGACACAAATCCTATAATTCTCTGCGTTGAAATCTTTCATATATTCCAACCTACATCATGTCCATGAAGATACTGTGATGCTGTCAGAATCTACTCAGCTACAACATAAATCAGTTTTTTAGTAGCTTTGCTCAAGCAGGAATACAGAGAAACTAATCTTGGGAAAACTGTAGGACCAATTCCTTCTTTTAACAAAATGATCTTTCTGCAAGTTCAGCCTAAAGGCAGGTCTGAGTTTTAAGGATTTTTCTTTTGGTGGGTGCCATCTCCTGGTTTCCAGTTGTAAGTACAATTTATAAACTAAAATTGGATCACAATATTTTGCTGTTTTATTTATAATATATACGTAAATACTCCTGAAATTTAAAATACTTCAATTTGAAATTTTTAGTGATCTGTAATACAATTGTGACATAGTTGTTTGGGAGAAAATGCATTGCTTGTACTTGATGTTCCCGGGTGCTGCTTCAGATTATATCTTCTTTGATGTCTACAATATTCCAAAAGAATAATGACATTTTCATGAAATTATATTAAAAACAAAATGTATTTCTCCCTTATTTTGAAAATTTCTTTAAATTAATTATCCAATAATGCATTTATTTTATGAAAAATATTTGAGAACTCACTATGTTCAGTATACTCTGCTTAGATATACAAAACCATCATAACCCCCATCCTGTAGGAATTGACATTTTACTATAATAAGTTTTAACCCCCTTTTTTAGTCTTTACCTTAGATAGCTATTCACTCCATATAACTGATGTTCAAATATATGCACAATGACTCTGCATACCTTTTTTTTTTAGTGAATATACTGTACTTGTAAAATATTTTCTCCCATGATAATCACACATCACCACATTTCTAAAACGCAGTTGGTACTTTGAAACCTAGAGATATTAGATCCAGGAGCTTATAACTAATTCAGTATATGGATAGAGTGAGGGGGCTGGTTGGTCAATAGCCCTGAAAAAGGAAAATTATATTCTAATTCTCATCAAAGTACTGAAAAAGATAGAAGAAACAGGACTGGATAAGCCATATTCTTTGAGGGTTATTTCTTACATAAGGAAATGTGTTCTTAATATTGCCCTACTAAAGCCTTCTACTCTTTTTTTGTTACCCTCAGGATAGATCTGTCATTTGCGTATGGGATACAACCCTTTCATGTTTGAGATCTTTATTTTCCACTGTTGTCCTTGCCTCTTACTCTATAATCCAACCACACTCAAGTAATTGAATTTCCTAGAATCTCAGGAATATGATTATGTAATGTTTTTATCTTACATGTCACACCCTCTACATTACTTTGCCTAACTAAACTTCTCTTTATTTTTTATGCCACTTATGTGCAATAGCTACAAATGGTGTCTTGGCTTGCACCTCCACCCTGATCACCCCAAACCTGAATTTGTGCCTGTTCTGTGCTTTCCCATGAACTACGTATAAACTCCCATTTTAACACATATTACTTCTCCTCTGCTATTTTAATTTCCTATTTGCAAGTTTAGGACCCTTTTCATTAGTCTGTAAAAGACATAGTGCTGGCTTATTTAACCCCATTATTTAAGAAGTATTTACGGAATATTGTACATGTTCAAATGATATGCGTTGAATGAATGAATGGCATTTGAGATCTAATGTCCGCATAAGACAAATGTTTTGAATTTTGTTTGTATCTTTTTTCCAGAGTTCGTTATTTAGCAAAAGAAAACATAACCCAGGACACTGAGAACCACACAATCTCTTTCATACAGCCCAATGGTGCCATCTTTGAACCTTCACTATCAGTTGGATCTGAGAATGACACATTCACAGTTCTCAATCTGGCTGTAGCTGTGAGTACACAAACCACAGTCACTGATTTTAAAATACTCTAGAATCCATTGTAATTTATCTCATCATTGCAATTAGTATTAGGCTGTATTTATTTTGCCATTTTTATAAAAATATGTTTTTATGTCATTATTTTGAACAGAATTACAGTCACTTGGAAAGATGACACAATCACAACAATCAATTGAATTTGAATACTGCTTAAAGTGTATCTATCACTAAGCTTTGGGATGACTTCTTGTGCCTGGCATTGAGGCAAAGAAAGCTAATCAAGTAGGGATTAGTCAAATTACACTGTAATTTGTCAGTATTTAGCAGTAAATTTATTTTTTAAAATTTTCAGATTAATATGAGGGTACAAGTAGGTTACAATGTTGGAATTTGTTAGGTAGAGTCCCTGTTGTAGTTGTGTACTGCACCTAGGAGGTGTACCATACGTGAGATTGTGCCCATTATGTGAGAACACACCAATTCCCCTCCCTCACTCCCCCTCTTCTCTCTTTCCCTCTCCCCCCAACTTGAATTGAGTTTTTCTCTTGTACGGGTGTATATTATTGTCTACTGGCTTCATATTAGTATTGAGAACATTGGATACTTTCTTTTCCATTATTGTGATACTTTGCTAAGAAGAATGTATTTCAACTCCATCTAGGTTTAAAATGTAAAGTCTCCATCTTTTTTAGTGGATAATACTCCATGATATACATATACTACAGTTTATTAATCCATTCCTGGGTTGATTGGCATTTACATCTTTGTGATTGTAAATTGAGCTACGATAAACAATCTACTGCAAATGTTCTTATGATAAAATGATTTTTTTTCCAACTAGGTGGATCCCTAATAATGGAATTGCAGGATGAAATGGAAGGTCTAATTTTACTTCTTTGAGGTTTCTCCATACTTGTATATGGAGAGGCTGTATTAGTTTGCAGTCCCAACAACAGTGTCAAAGTGTTCCTTCCAAATCCACATCAGCATCTACAGCCTTGGCATTTTGTTATATGGACTATTCTCTCTGGGTTTAGATGATATCTCAGGGTGGATTTGATATGCATTTCTCTGATGACTAGGACCAATGAGCATTTTTCATGTTTGTTACCATTTGTTTGTCTTCCTTGGAGAAGGTTCTGTTCATGTCTCTTGCCCAGTGATAGATGGGATTGTTTATTCTTTCAAGCCTTTGTCACATTCATAACTTGCAAGTATTTTGTCCCATTCTGAAGATTGTCTATTTGTTTTACTTATTCTGTCCTTAGCCATGCAGAGTGTTTTAGTTTAATCATGCTGATTTATTTATTGTGAATGACGTTGTGATTGCCACTGAAGTTTTCTTCACAAAATCTTTCCTCAGGCTGACATCCTTAAGGTACTTTCCCATGCTTTCTTCCAAGATTTTTATTATTTTGTATCATAGATTTAAATCTTTTATCCATTTACTGTCAATTTTTGTAAGTGGTAAAATGTGCTGGTCCAGTTCCAGTCTTTTAGGTGTGGTTATCCAATTCTCAGCAATAGTTATTGCATAGGGATTCTTTTTTCCAGTGTGTGCTTTTGGTTGATTTATCAAAGATTGGATGGCTATAAGAGACTGGTTTGATACCTTGGTTTTCTATGCTACTCCATATATTTATGTGTCTATTTTTGTGCCCATACCATGCTGTTCTGATTATTGTAGATCTGCAATATAATCTAAAGTCTAGTAGAGTGATGCCTCTGGCTTTGTTTTTATCACTGAGAATTGGCTAGAATATATGGAATTTTTTCTGCTTCCATACAAAACAAAGAGCTATCTTTCCAAATCTTCATAGTATGATGTTGATATTTTTATGAGTATTGCATTGAATCTGTAGATTGCTTTGGGCACTATAGACATTTTAACAATGTTGATTCTTTCCAGCCAAGAACATAGTATGTTCTTCCATTAGTTAATGTCTTCTGCTATTTATTTTCTTAGTGTTTTATAATTCTCTTTTCAAAGATCCTTCACCCCTTCTGTTTGGTGTATTCCAAGTTTTTTATTTTCTTTGAAGCTTCTGTGAAGGGAATTGTGTCCTTTATTTTCTTCTCAACATGGCTGTGATTGGCATATACAAGAGCTACTCATCTGTGGACATTGATATTATACTCTGAGACATTGTTGTATTTCCTTATCACTTCCAGGTGTTTTGTGATTGAGTCTCTAGGGTTTTCTAAGTAAAAGGTCATATCATCAACAAAGAGAGTTTGACCTCCTCTACCTGCATTTGGATGCCCTTTATATTCTTCTTTTTGTCTGAATGCATTGACTAGAACCTCTAGCATAATGTTGAATAATAACAGTGATAGTGGACATCCTTGTCTGGTTCCAGTTCCAAGTGGGAAACTTTCAATTTTACTCCATTCAGTATGGTATTGAATGTGGGTTTGCCATAGATGGCTTCAATCAGCTTAAGAAATGTGCCACCTATGCCTATATTCTTAAGTGTTCTTGTCAGAAAAAAATGCTGAATTTTGTCAAATGCTTTTTCTGTATCTATTTAAAAGATTATGTGGTCTGTGTTTTTACTTCTATTGATATGGTGAGTTACATTTATGGATTTGCACATGTTAAATCAACTTTACATCCCTGGATAAAATGTACTTGATCATGATATATGATTTTTTTAGACATCATTTAGCTGTCATCTATTTGCTACGATATGACTATTTTGCATCTACATTCATTAGTGAGATGGGTCTGTAATTCTCCTTTTCAGTTTTTTCTTTTTTTGGCCAGGACTGGGTTTGAACCCGCCACCACCACCATATGGGGCCACTGCCCTACTCTTTTGAGCAACAGGTGCCTCCCAGTAATTCACCTTTTTAGTTGCATCTTTTCCTCCTTTGGGTATTTGGGTAATGTTTGCTTCAGGAACACGTCAGGGAAGTTTCCTTCCTTCTCAATGTTTTGAAATAACTTCTGCAGCATGAGTACAAGCCCTTCATTGAAGGCTTGATAGAATTGTGAGGCTTTCTTGCCCAGGTTTTTTATTTGTTTGAATATTTTTTATTGTTTTTTTGATCTCAGTGCTTGATATCTGTCTGTTAAAGAGAACTATTTCTTTCTGGTTACATCTAGAGTGATGGTGTGATTCCAGGTATAGGTCCATTTCCCTCACATGTTAAATTTCTGGGTATAGAGTTTCTCATAGTAGTCAGAGATAATCTTGGCTATCTCTGATATTTGTTATTTTCTTTTTTTCATTTCTGATTAAGATTATGAAAGATTTTACTTTTTTGTTTCTAGTTAATATATCCAAAGTCTTATTAATTTTGTTTATCTTTTTAGAGAATAATTTTTAAATTAATTTCTGAATAATTCTTTTGTTTCTATTTTATTTATTTCTGATTTAATTTTGGTTATTTCTTCTTTATGTTAGCTTTGGAATGGGATTGCTCTGCCTTTTCCATTTCCTTAAGATTATTCATTAGGTCATTTACCTGCTCACTTTTTTTTTTCTGATGTAGGAATCTAATGGTATAAATTTCCCTCTTATTTGTATCTTTGCAGTATTCCACAGGCTTTGGTAACTTGTGGCTTCATTTTTGTTATGTTTGCTAAATTGAACACTTTCTTCCTTTATCCCCTTCTTGACACAACTGTCATTCAGCATAATGTTGTTTAGTTTCTATGCCTTTGTGTGGGAAATGAAATTTTTTATTGGAGTTCCACCTTTATTGCCTTATGGTCTGGCAAGATCCAAGGTAAAATTTCAATTATTTTAATTTTGTTGAGATTTGATTCATGTCCTAAGATATAATCTATTTTGGAGTATGATACATGGGCTGATGAGATGAATGTATATTCTTTAGCCTTAGAGTGGTATGTTCTGTATATAACTATTATGCACAGTTATTTTAGAGCTGATTTTAAGTCCCTCGTATCTTTGTTTAGTTTCTCTTTTGAAGATCTGTCCAGTTCTGTTAGACAGATGTTAAAGTTCCCAGTTATTAATAGGGTGTTGTAGGATACCATATTGTTTAGACCAATTAAAATACCTTTCATAAATCTGGGAGCATCTAAATAGTTAGAATTGAAACGTTTTCTTGTTGTGTTATACCTTAGATCAGTATGAAGTAATAATCTTTGTCTTTCTTAAATCCACTTGTATCTGAAAACAAGATTGCATCTATCTCCTCTTTTTTTCTGATTTCCATTTGCCTGAAATATTGTTTTCCATCCCTATACCCTGAGCCTTGTTTTTATGTTCAATTAGACAGCTTGTGTTTCTTCAGTGGGGAATTCAAACCATTCATATGTATTTAGAGAATTGATAAGGATGGTGGAGTTCTATTCATCTTATTTAGTGAAAGTCCATTGCTTAGTATTATCCTTCCATGATGGTAAGCATCATTGTGGAAACTAGGTTTTGTTGTTTCCTGTAGAGCTGGTCTTATTGTGAAGAATTTCCTCAATGTTTGGATACCAGTGAAAGATTTGATTTCTCCATCAATTTTGAAACTTAGTTTAGCTGGATACAGATTTCTAGGCTGAAAATTGTTTTGTTTAGGGTTGAACGTAGATGACCATTGTCTTCTGGCTTGAAGGGTTTCATTTGAGAAGTTAGCTGTTACTCTGATGGGTCTGCCCCTGTTGGTCAATTGCTGCTTACTACTGGCTGCTTATGGAATTTTCTCTTTCATCTTGACTTTGGACACATTCATTACAATGTGTCTTAGAGATTCTCTGTTATGTTGAGATGCCCTGGGGTTAGATATCCCTCTAAAAAGAGTGTATCAGAATCCTGGTGATGCTTGGGAAATTTTCATTAATGATTTCCTCCTGTGGGGCTTCCATTCCTTTGGGATGTTCTTGCTGGGTTCCTGCCCTGGGGGCAGAGTCTGTGAAGACATGTGAATTTGGCAGTGACTGACTGAAGAAATATAAAGTTAGAAATGAAGTGAAAGAAAGAGACAAGCCACACAGAATAGAATTTTCTAAGGGAGAAACTCAGGGGACCACTGCCCACTTGTGGGATTCTGACAGTGGCTGAGAGTGTCAATTCTAATTAGTTTTTATTGAAGGCTATTTGCTCATTGGCCCAGAGGGTAAGCTGAGGAAGAGAACAATGATGACAGCAGTTTCTCTGAGCAAACATATCAGCTCCTATTGTTTCTATAATCATTAACTTTAAGGGTCTGAGAAGTCTTGAGAAATCTGGGAACCTGAGCCTTATGTGGGGGCAGCCTCCAGCCTGAGGTCACAGACACACAGGTTTTTGGGGAGGGGGGTTAATTAGACTAGTTCACTGTGAAGTAAAATGCCACTGACATCAATCTCCTCTGAAGAATTGGTGAGAGAGGAATTTTCCTCTCATCACTACCACAGAGGGTCTTCCTCTGTGATAAGGAATATAAGCGTCCTACCCGTATTTCAGGGCTTGAGCTGTTCTCTTGACCTCTGTCCCAGCCATATACAAATCTCCACAATGGGTATTTGCTTTGACATTTTACTGGTCAGGAAACAGCCTAATTAATATATCTTTCCAGGTCTTGCCATAGCTTCTTCTGTGGCTATTATTTTCTTCGGAGGGCCCACACATCCAGAAGGGATGCTTGTAAGCTGTATCCCTAATGGGCCATAGTTCTAGGAAAAGCAGGAAACTTGTTCAGATAAGAAATTTATCAGTGGCTGGTTTAAAGGTAAACTAGCTGACTTTTCTTTGTTCTGCTTCACTCAGCTTACTTTTTAATTTTTTGCTTTTCCTGGGGGTGTTTTCCCTTGTCATGAATGGGGTCTTTGGTCCCCATTCTGCCTGCAATTCTTTTTCCCCTGCAGGAATACCTGTAATTCTTATGTTTGAAGACTTCATAAAGTCCTATAATTCTCTAAGTGAATGCTCTGTTTTTTCTTTTTTCTTTTCTGCCTTTTTTAAATGCCTGAGTTAGCTCAAGAGCCTTATCTTATAGCTCTGAGAATCGTCCTTCTCCATGGTCCAATCTATTATTGAAACTTTCTCCTACATCATTAAGTTCTATGATTGACTTAGTTCATTCTTTAAGCTCTGATATATCTCAATTTATGTCTTTCATAATTTTAAATTCCTTTCTGTTGTTTCCATAATTGCTTTATAGATGGAATCCTCTGTAGCAGCTTACTCTGATCTCTTGGGTTGGGGCAGATCTGTTCTGGTTTTTAATGTTGCCAGAGTTTTTCTGTTGGGTTTTCCTCATGTATGTTTTCTTCTTGTTGACATCCTTCTCCTACTTTTTCTTCTCTCTTCCTCTTTCACTTTAAATTACCTTGTCTCTGTGCTTAGGTGTTGATGTATCCTTTGGACACTCTACCAAAAGGAAGAGTAAATTGAAGAGTGAGAAAGGAGAAAGGAAAACAAAATATAGAGGAAAAATGGAGAAAGAAATAAGATGAAAAAAAGGAGTAATGGGCAGAAAGAGAGAACAGGATAAATGGTGGTATTTAGCAGGGTGCTTTCAGCGGCATCCACAATGCCAATACCCTGGGGGAATGGGCTGGGTGGGTCCCTTGAAGTCAGGAGCTCCTAACCAGCTTGAGTAAAAACAGGAAACCACTTCCACCAAATACAGAAAAAAATCAGCAGTGTGTGGATTGGGGACGTCCTAATACCATCTCTCCAAAGGCCACAGCTAGACGGACACCCTCCTCCTTAAGTCAGACTAGTGCTGTTGAATCCCAGCCCTGGCCACAGATTGGGGCTCTGCTTCATTAATAGAACACAGAATGAAATAGAATAAAATAAATGAGAAAAAGGAAAATAATAATAGATTAAGAAAATTTAAAATATAATTATATAGCTATTACATATATAAAAATATATAATTATATAAGGTGTTTAAAAAGGGGGGAATATCATGGTTGTTGTTTGAGAAGTTTGTGTATGGAAAAAATGAGAAAAGTAGAAAAATCTCTACCAAAAGAGAGAAAAAAAAATAAAAATAAAAAAGAAAGAAAGAATAAAAGGGGCTGATAAACTGTAGCAATAATGGAGCCTTTGCTGTTGAATAAAGTAAAAATGAAAAAGTAAGAGTACAACAAATCACAACTAATAAGAATTGAAATATATAAATATATCTCTATCTATCTATCTATCTATCTATCTATCTATCTCTCATCTATTGCCTGGACACCTGTTCATGCTCTAAGAAGATACAGAAGAAGAGAAATGGGTATACAATATTATATATTGCCTGGACACCAATTGGCACTGTGGAGTTAGGAGATGCAAAACAAAAGCATGCTGATTTTGATTTTGATGGGGGCAGGAAGCCACTATCTAGATTTCGAGGAAATCTGGTTCTGTTTTCCTGATTTATTTGCCCTTGATCAGGGCTTAGTGACTTGGCTAGCATTCAATCTCTGCAGGGTTAGAAGTTTGAAGCTCTTGACAGACTACTTTGGAGATACACCTTGACTGTCCATAATGTGCTGCTTACCACAAAGTGGCTTTCCTTTATGTGGGTGAGCCACCCAACTCTCCCCAAAGCCGGCTTCCCAAGATCAGCAGACATGCCAGAGCCACCCACACACTGGGACCCGGTGGACTTTTCCTCCCTGGTGGCCTTCTAAAAATGGCAGCACATTGCTAGTAGCTGAGCTGATAAGAGTTCCACCCCACCCAGTGGTTCAGTCCCAGTGGTTCAGTATTCAAGTTCACTGACTCACTTATACCCTTCCAAGATAGCTCTGTTGAGAACACAAGTCCAAAAATAAACTGTAGGGTACGCTTTCCCTGACTCTAGCCCTTCACTGGGGGAACAGCCAGTCTCTGCCCATGCTTAGGCACTTGTCTTCTATGTCAGTTTTCCACTGCTTCTGGCCACTTTATTGGCTCCTGCAGTCCCCTGTTGCTTCACTGTGCCCCCCAGAGTAATGTTTCTGGACAGGACACTCCAGCAACAGGTGGTTGGAGTCCTCTCTCCCCTGTCTCACCATGAGTGGCTGCCAAGGAGATAGCTCTAGTAAGCAGTCTTACTCCATATCCTTAGCTGTAATTTTAAAGATTTAGTTTTAAAATTTTTATTAAACTCAATTTTATAATTTACTATTTATTGGTTAAAATACGGTATTATTTTGGTGTCTTAAACAGTGATTTGATTTTGGTTTTGTAGGCTGCAGCCCATATCTACCAGAATTCATTTTTTCCAATGGTACTCAATACACTTAACAATCAGTCAAAATCTTCTATGTTCCAAAGAAGAACTTTGAAAGATCTGTTGTGGGGCTATATGGATCCATTTTTGAGTTTGGTTCCATACCCTGTTCCTACCACAGTTGGTGTGTTTTATCCTGTAAGTACCAAATATAAATGGCAATATTGTTGTATTCTAATTGGATAAATGACATGGCATTGGCCAAGCATAATTTTATCATTTAGTGTTTTAACCTTACTGCTGATCTGGAGATACCTATCTGACATATATCTTACCTTTGTAAAAATGTCCACGTCACAGATGGCTTAAACTTTCTTAGTTAGAAAACTCATCTGAATTTTAAAATCATGTTTAAAACAAAAACTGAGATATTGTTAGTGTGAATCGATGGAAAATAAATAATACTTATTCAGTCCATTTGCACTAAACTAAGGGACTTGGGAGATATCAGCAAATTCTGCACATGGAGAGGCAAGGGCATGGCCTCCTCCAATGTTCCCACTGGCTTTTATTGAAATCTCATGTCTGAGAAAATAAAGCACAGCAGAAAGCTTCCAAGACAGAGTAAAGGTTAAAGAACAAGTTTATCTTTAATTGTATGATTGAACCATTAACACATTCTGTTTACTGCACTTCTGTTTTGCCTTTTTCTTATCACTGCTAAATATGGCTTAGGACTAAGACAGTAAGTATGCTTTATCTAGTGAGTATTGTTTTTAGTACTCAGGGGCAGAGTGAGCTTTGTCTTTTTCCAAGATCACTCTCTCCCTAGTGCCTAGCACTTTTAACCCTATGCTGTATCCTACAATATATAATCAGATTTCCACTCTTATCAATAATGCAATTTGACTAAAACTAACTTGTAAGCTAGTATGTAAATAATTGAACAGTATTTTTGGCTTTGATTCCCCTTCTTCTACAAGCAAATCAATACCAAATTTTTATCTGTATTAAATGTGTTCAGCCTATCATTTCCTCTCTTCTAGTTCTCTTACAAATTTATTTTAGTTTATATTGAAATTATAGCCTAAATTTGCACAACTCAATGAGACTAAATCAATAGGCCTCTTTTTAATGGAATAGAATTCATTAAAAAGAATTACCAGTAGTCCACAAATATCATGAAATGGTACATTTAGTTATAGCTTAATGTTTTGAAATATAAATTTGATAAGCTGACAATTGAATTGGATCTTTGACTATGACATCATTGGGCACTGTATAAGAATAGTGAGATGCTGTAGTTCATTGTTTTATTTTTATTCTTAGTAATGTTTAGGGTTGCAGCATTTTACATCAATTCAGTACAAATATAGAAAACCTTCAGGAATCAAACATTCAGTAATTATTTAAATCAAATACTCATAACATTTAATCAAAATTTTAATTTTATAGGTCTAAGTCTTATTTTGGTAAACACTTAAAGATCACAACATTTAGAAAATATTTATAAGTCATTGCTTTTATAGGTTTTGGTCAATGTCTCTTATGCTCAATAGAAGGAGTATAATGAGTAAAATGACTTATTGGCTTACTTACTACAAAGAACACTGGAGTTTGGGTCATGTCAACATCTAATAATTATTTTAGCATTTACCACTTATTTCTAGGAGCCCTTTATGGTGTATGCATTACAACATTTTCGCCATGAATTTTAAAACATATTGCATATAACTTTCAAGTTATGTAGAATATTTATAAATAGGCAGTATCCAGAAAACGTGAAAAGGATTTATGAAAACTATGAGTTGTTTTAGAAGTAACTTTCTTTCTACATATCTTTTCAGTACAACAACACTGCAGATGGAGTTTATAAAATTTTCAGTGGAAAGGATGACATAAGCAAAGTCGCCATAATTGAGACTTACAAAGGTAAAAAGTAAGTATTTGAAAATAGTGTGTGTGTGTGTGTGTTACTAGGGTACTCTAAGGCAGTAGTAGTGTTTGTTTAACAACTGGTACATCACAGGCACCAACCTATGCCACACAGTTGCTTTCTCTGGGCTCTGGACACTCCTATTCTGAAAGGCACCAACACTTTAGTTTTGCCATTGGCATGTTCACACCAGTTGCTGAATATCAGCCCCATTTTAGGGTTTGGTTTACCTTTACGTGCAAATCCAAAGGGACTCTTTTCATCTTTGCTGAGTATCCACCATTACAGCACACCCATACCATTAGATACCAACAGATGAAAAGGAAGAAAATCAGTACATCAACTAATTGTCTAGTAAGTAGAAACATTTTTTTAACTTTTGTAATTGAGTATATCAAATAATATTGTGTATTCCAGTGACATGACCTACATGTGTCTCTAAAGGTGGAAGTTTAATGAATCCAGATGATTGCTTTCATTACTTCTCTCTGCACTTGCTCTTAAAATAATTATCTATATTGATAACTCAGTTTTTACCTTTATCAATGCAAAAATGGAATAAGTATTTTAAGTAGAATTACATAGAAAATGTGAAAATAAAGAATACACCACGTTTAAAATGGTGGAAGCCATTATTTACTTTCTTTGCAAAGCCATTATTTACTTTCCTAATCTGTCTGTTAATCTGAAGGATTAATAATTTATGCTATGTACAAAAGCAGAAGAACCCTAGTAAATATAAGTGGCAAACGCCTTTTCTTTAAAGTTAATAATTGTGCATTAGAATAGTTATTTCCTGAAAAAGATAATCAAAACTAAAAGAAATTAAATGTTTCATTAGCACAACTATCCGCTGCATCACACTGAGTCTTTATCTAATAATTGTATATGAGAATTAAATATTAACTAGTAGAATATTTTTTCTTCTGAAAAGTCCATACATACTCGTTTTTATAGAAAAGTGAAGTGGAGGAAAACAAGTGTTCATTTCAGAGGAAATCACATCAATTTTTTATCTGTAGAATAGTGAGCATTTCACTCCATTTCAGTATTACAGGGGTTTTAAGGTGAATTGCTAGGTACTTCTAATTAGAAAATGAATTTCATACCCTTTAAGGTTGTGATAAGGTTGATTTAATTCATCCTAGCAAGATGTAGCATGACTGGCAGTTTATTCTGTGTTGTATTGACATCACACTGGATAATGATAGGAGTAGAAAAAACAGCTTTTCTACCATCAAATAGGGGCTGAAAGATGCAGAATAACAATTATTACTATTTTTGTGTATCTTGGTATAGTATACAACTTATTTATATACCAGTGCACAAATAATAAAGTCTGTCCTAATTTAATGCCAATCCATGCAATAACCAAAAAGGGGAAAATTACATGTGCACTGGTTGATTATCAACATGTTTTGAATCTGTATTCATCTAAATTTCAGCTTCCTTCTTTCTTCCTTTGCACTCCCCTGGTCTTCTTTATATTGATCTTATATCTTCAACACCCTTAATACTTGTCTTCTATTCTCATATCACTGGACGATTCCTTTCGCATATTGGAAAAGAAAGAAAATCTTTCCTAAGTAGATACCTAAGTTTCTGATAAATGTTTTTAAATATTTTAAATCACGAGTTATTTCTAATCAACTTAGCATAGCACTTGGCAGTTTTTGTTTTATGATTTAACAATGTAAAAGTATCAGGCACTTAATTTAGTGCAGGGGTCCTCAAACTTTTTAAACAGGGGGCCAGTTCACTATCCCTCAGACTGTTAAAGGGCCAGACTGTGGACCCCGGGACCAGTCGGCTGCTAAGCAGGACAGGCAGCGGCAGCAAAAGCACCCAGCAGGCCGGATAAATGTCCTAGGTGGCAGCATGTGACCATAGTTTGAGGATGCCAGATTTATTGCAAGAAGAGAAAGTGTTTTGAAAAACATGAACTGAATGATTGAAAACATTTCTTAAACTTAGTACTTGCCATATTTAATCTTTATTATATGAGTAGATGTATTGAACCATACTTTAAAGAAAGGTAATGTGAAAAAGATGCTCTTGAAAAGAGAATGGTTAGTTCATTTTCTTCCTTTTTATTCCTAAGGAATCTCTCCTACTGGGCAAGTTATTGTGACATGATTAATGGTACAGGTAAGGACATTTGTTTTGTGGTAATAACAACAATGAACTTACCTCACCTTCTCTTACAAATTCACCATCATACCAACAGTGTTCTGAAGGTTAAGTGTGTGTATTTACTTGTTTTTGTAGCCCTACAACATAATCCAGACTCTATTTTTATACAGGCTTGTTAATATTTGATGTGATAGGTTTCTGAATATTAACAATAACAAATTAACCCTCATTGCATTACTAGGAGAATGTGCTTTGTAAAAACTTAATGAAAGGCCATTTTGGCAACAGAAATAACAGTTAAAAAAAACAACATGGAGAAGTAGTTGCTATTTGAACATTTTGTAAGCATGATATGTATAACCACTTAGAATTGAAAGAATAAAAAAATTAAGATTAAAAAGGAAAACACATTGATTACAACCCAAAATGAATCTGGCCCAGGTCTGGTTACTCACTGCATAGAAAGCCAGTTATAGAGGCAATGAGAATTGTGGAGGAAGAAAGGAAATTTTAATACAAAAGCTGTCAGTCTGGAGAAGGTGAGAGGGAAGCACCCTCAAACCCATCTCCTGAATAATGAAGTGTGCATATTATTTAACTAGGAGCTCTATGCATTGGGGCAGGTTAGTAGGAGGGGTGAGTACTGGTGTCAGGAAGTCTGTGCAGAAGGCTTCAGAATCTCAACTCTTTTTGCCTCACACAGATTCTGTAATTCGGGGGAACACAACTCAAAAACATTAAGGGGTCATTGTTATGGTGTTCTGGTCATCAAGCTATACTGGACGGAGAGTCTAACACACAAGAGGGAGAAGATTACAAAAAAATATACAGAGATCATGGAAATGTGTTCATACAGCTGGTTACAATACTTCTGAGGTTTAAGGCCAGGGTAGAATCAGTGCAATTATAAGACAGAACTATCTATTTTGGACAAGATGGTCGGAATGAGAGAGAATTAAAAAAGAATAGATATTTCTTGTATCCATGTACCCATGAAAAATTATAAATATAAAAATAAGCATTCTAACTTTGAATTAGGGGAGAAAAAGAAGAACTGTAAACTTAGATTTAGGATACGGTTAGATTCTAGAAGAATAGGAAAATACATGTATGCCTATTAGTTTGAGAATTAAGATTTTAGAAATCAGTGGGAATCAAATACCGTGAGGTAATTAAAATTAAGAACTACTAAGAAACAGTAGTATGAAGTCTACAAAGTTGGTCATAGAATAACCTGGAATGATATCATACAGATAAAAAATTAAAAGAATCACAGAGAATGTTTGCTTTTCTTTTTTTTTTTTTTATTGAATGGTAACTGTGTACATTGATGCA